AGTACATATTTAATATTAAAGAATAATATAAACAATATAATTAAAAATACTAACTTACCTGGAATACAATAAAGCTCATTACTATACTAAAACACAAGATTAGTTGAAAGCGAACCAGTTTTGATTGTTGATAGGGCCATAAGCCAATAGCAAGCAACAGAATTCGATTGAATCTCAAATACTGGATGTCGACACAAGTCATTTCTCAGTGAGAATCTAGGTACGCGATTGAGATTGTGAAAAACTCATTCGTGTATTCTCGCCGTTCGAACGATTCATTGAATTATTCTATATACTTTTTCTCTTTTACCTTTCCCTGTTTAAGTTTAAACATAAATAGCCTAACTTAGCATAAATGCGTAAAAAAAGTATAATACATAAAAAATAGTTACAATGGAAGAAATTTCATATATTTTCTCGAAAAGAGAGAGAAGTGGACAATTTCGCAATCAATTTGATATCAAAAGAAATTCAACAGATGTTTATTTCTATAGAAAAGCTCTTATGAGATAATTTCTTGATCGAAGTCGGCGCAGGCGTAGTTGTTTTTTTTTCCAATGTCGTTCCAGTTGCTTCATTCTAGTGCGAACTTTTATCAGGCACGTTTGTTTTTTGAGGTGAACGTCAATCGACCGATCTCAGCCAATGAAATTATCATCGGTAAAGTACATGGCATTTTATATTATATCGTGACACTTTTAATCAATTTGTAAACCAAGTAATGTGGAACAAATACTTTAAATAAAAATGGTAAAATTTTTAAAGAAAAGCATGGCTATGCATATTTTTACATTCAAAGTATTTTTTTCCACATCATTTAAGAAATATTTGATTATTTAAATTAAAATCTTATATTCTGTATGCTATTGTGTATATTAACTAGAAAAATGCATTTTGGTTTATACTAGACAGTATTATTCTAGACAGTATTATAATTTTTTAAAAATTACTCTTTAATAATTTCATCTAATAGTTTATTAAAATTGAACGTTTGTTTCTTATTTGCTTTATGCGAATACACTATTAGATAATATTTTATATTTTCACATTATTGCTGTGTAGAATATATGACAGTGAAGTAGGACATCGATGCACTTGTTAGCTGCAACAAAATATTTTTTATTGTCTGTGCAATATATTGTATGCTATAATATATCGCATACATTTCGATAAATAATATATAATTTTTACCGAAGCAAAACACTGCAAGGATGCTACAAACAATCCACCAATATTCAGGCTAAAAGTTTTGTTAGTCCTTTGTAAGAGAAATAGTATCAGCTTCTGTGTATGCAAAGGAGCTGTATACCATTGAACGCTATATCTGCGGACAAATGACTAGACGATCAATCGATATATGTATAAATTAAAACAAATGATTTTAGAATTTTAAGTAAAAAAATTTTGATTTTTTTAAATATGAATTTTTATTTTTGTTATTAAAGATTACTACTCTATATATATTTGAGAAAACTGTATAAAAATACTTCTTACGCAGTGGAAAATACATGATTATGGTGATCCGTGATTTCTTGTCCGGCATAATTGGCTAAGAACATGTATAAAACAATGATGCCTATAAATACGACATGTAATAAAAATTGATCTATATTTTTTAATGACATAGTTTGAAAAATCTGAAACATTATATTTATGATTAATATTTTAAGTATATATTAAAATTAATTATTTTATATAAGTAAATTGCAAACAAATTAAAAATAAAAATACAAAGAACAAAATTTTGTAAATTAAAATCTTTTTTTTCTTCATAAAACTTTTGATTTTAGATTTTAACTCAATACTCAAATTTAAATAATTTCTTAATTATTCTTTTAATTTTTTATTTACGTCTTTATTTACTGGTTTTTTAAATAAAGTTATTATAAAAATGTCACATTTATTGATTCAAATATACATATATTCAGAAATGAAAGAAAACTTACTTCGAAAAGATTGAGGCTCAAACAACATACACTAATTGTTATTAAAGAAAAAAACGACCCTTCAAAATTGTTTATTACATGTTCTGCGTAGCTTTAAAAAAATAAAAATATTATTGTACACTTAGTAAACAAAATATTTGCAACGTGGCAGATTAAATAATAAATTAGATCAAATTTGACTTTTGTTGTTAATCCGTCAATATTGCTAAAATTTGCATCTGAGCATCGGTAACGCAAATGAAAAATATTATAACTGTATTTTTTACAAATTAAATTGTTTTTTTAATTCTATTATACCAATATACTCAAATATTAGAATTTAAAAGTTGAATAATTTTGTATTTGTGCCGGTGATTATGAAAGTGGACTATGTCAAAAATTTTGATGATTTTTTATTTTGAGATATTTTGACTTTTTATAAATCGATATAATACAAAATAAGTGATCAGTTTTAAAAATCAATTAAAAAAAAATTTTTTACTTAGCCCACTTTCATAATCACTGGCACATTTATTTAAAATATTTTAGTCGGTAATTAAAAGGTTTTGGAAAGAAAGTTAACATTAATTAATGTAATTAATTTTTCTACAAACTTGTAGCTTAATTATGTCACAATATTTTTCATCTTATATTATCAATATTTGTTATACAATATAATATATATAAGATATATATATATATATATATATATATATATATATATATATATATATATATATATATATATATATATATATATTATTGTGTAAATACCAACTTCATAGCTTTGCGATGAATATCTACGGCATAAATCATTTTCTTATAAATAATAATTGTATTTTTTGGATTTTTTTGTAAAATATTAACTCTCATTGCCTGTTTGATACGATAGCTATAAATAATATAATTTGGATATAATTATATAGGTCTTTTTTGGGGGAAATTATAAATAAAATTTTACTTTACAATATAAATATTTATTTCTAATTTTTATATTTATCTTTTTTTACCTGGCAATTGTAAACATTCCGCAAGAAAATTTGAGGTATACTATTAGCATTGTTCCCGTTGCTATCACTGCAATCGATGCAATACAAATTGCTACGTTTACATGCAGAAGAATTAAATAGAAATATTTTTCTTGATCAACAAAATACTCAGTGATTGTTAACATTACGAAATGTGAGCGAGATTTATTCACAGGCTGAACGATATTATGTAACCATAATGGCAGCAAAGTAATGAAAAGTATACTACATAATGTAATCACTGCGTTAGAAAAAATAGTTATATTTATAAGTTATTATTTTTTATCTTTTAAAATACCAATTTTGTTATACATATATTTGGTTATACATATATGTATGTATATAAAGTACTTTTGGTACAACTAAATGTAACAATCGAGTACGCGTCAAACTGACGAAAAATATGACAGAAAGATAAAAACTGTATAATGCAAACGCTGAAGATGTTTAAAAAAATTCATATACGCCGTTATAACATTACATTTAAATAACTATACACCTTTACTTTAAATAACTATACCTTTTTTTAATTTTTTGATTTATTAGTTTGTTATATGTTTTATATTCGTTTATTTTACACATCAAGTTTTGTACGTTTTCAAAGTATGTAGACTTTATTCATTTTTTCTAACTACTTTCTATTCAGCAATTTTGCAATAAACTATGAGATTTTACGTTTCATTATTATTTTAATTTTTTAATTATTTTTCTAAATAAGTTCTTTTAGTAATATTAAATTTAAAAATTCCTTTAGTAATATTAAAATAAAATTTTGCAGAGATTGCAATCTATTTTATTATGTGTAATAAAAATCAATAACATTTGTCTTACGTATAATTCTAGTTGTATAACGTTTTGCATAGTATCCATATTTTTTTATGATGGCAATTTCGTTTGCATCTTTTAATTCATTATAGATATGTCGAAATTGTTCCAAAGAATATTTTACCTATTGTTTTAACAATATTTTTTTCACAACGCTTTTTGTTATGAAATTTAAGAAGATTATTACGTAAAAACATATTTATAGCGAACGTTTTAGTTGGGCTGATGTAGTTTCAACTTACAGTTTGATTATTAATCAAAAATGAATTGTATGTAATTAGCGACATAATAAAAAATAATGCGCAACAGAGAATTTTGATGATAAGATTAATAGTGCATTCCGCTGTCATAAATTTTGTAAACTGCAAATAACAAGTTGAAAAAATGCATTGAGACACTATTTTCGCACTTAAATAAAAAACTTTGAGTCTAAAATAATTAATATTATTTTGCCACGAATAATAAATTAATAAAATTTTTTATATGTACAAACACAATATATTAGTTGTATTATATTATATATTTAATCAAATAAATTATATGATTAATGTAATTAAAAATAATAATATACCTGGAATACAATAAAACTCGTCAGTATACTAAAAAATGAAATTACTTGAAAACGAACGAGTTTTGATTGTTGATAAGGCCATAAACCAACAGTGAGTAAAAGAATTCTATTGAGATTAAAATACTGTTCTATATAATTCGTCATTTCTCTATAAGCATCGAAATGCATTTAATTGTGAAAATGCCAGCAAAGTTCGCATATCTTTCTCTTTTTCCGGCCTTTTCAAGAGATGGAATTTTATCTTTTTTTTTTTATTCAAATATAAGTAGTCTAATTTAATTTAAATGTAACGCAAGATGAGACAAAATATTATGCATATGACGAGAGCAAAACACTCTCATAGGTTAGTGGGGAAAAGACAATTAAACGATCGATATAGCGTCGAAGGAAATTCACATTGTGTTTATTTCCCATAAAAGAAATACTGGGAATACATCCCCTCTTCGTATAGGATTGCGCAGTCGCAATCGGCAATTCTAGGCAACGCCACTGTACAGCGACGCACTTCGACGTGTCTCATTCGAGTGCGTGCACGCGTAAGTCATGTTTGATCCCTGAAAGAAACAGCAGTCAATCAGCTTTGCATATATCGACATATCATCTATTAATTCATTACTGGTAAAGTACATAATATCATTTAGTGATAAACACTGTTGTTTTTTATAATTTCCTTCTTTTTCATATTACTTATATGTTTTGCAATCTTATAACTCCATCCAGCAACCCATAGCCCAATTATACTTGTATTCATATTGCGCCTACTATCATATATGTGCTTAACTAATTTTCTACTTTCACTATTTTATCATTATATTAATTGATATGTTATTGTTGCATAGAGTAACAGTGAAATATGACATAATAGGGCTTATAAGCGACAAGATATCGAAAATGCACAGCCAAAATTGGTACAAAATTAAAACAGATCCAACGAGCATGGCTATCACTAAAGAACATTTCAAAAACAATATATTTAACAAAGGATTTGTGATTAATTTATTAATAAGTTTAAATTATTATATACTATTTTGTGTCTATAAAAAAATTGAAAGAAGTTATCTTACGCGTTGACCGTGTACCATTTCGTGTAACTGCTGTAATTTTTTATGATAATGAATTTTATTCTCGTCCATTAGCTGGTCACAAAAGTGTTGTAATTGCTCTAGCAAACATTCCACCCATCATTTTAACAATATTCTATGTCGGTTTTCTTTGTTAAATGCAGAAAAAAATTGTATTTATACTACAGACTTATTTAGATGAGAGAACGCTGATGATGAGATCTGTAAGACATTTTGAAATCAGAAATGATGCGAGCTACAAGATATAATTTTATTTAATAATATGTATTAAACTGTTAGTGTTTCATATTGTTACTGTTTAGAAAATTGTGAGTTCTAAATCATTAACATATAAAATTTCCGCGAAGAGATTACATATAATTATAATTTTGTATAATCTTATTTGATATATCATATTTTCATATGTTACAGTTATATTTTAATTATACGATATTTTTTAATAATAATTTTTTAATTTTTAATAATTAATATTTAATTACAAAATAAAGAATTGCCGAAAAAAATTATGACTGTATTTATTACGTTATCGTATATTTTAGAATATTAACATACCTTAAATACAACAAGAGAAATTAGAATAGCAAAACATATTGCTAATTGAAATCAAACAAGATTAGTAGATTGCTTATAAGGTCAAACGCGAGTAATAAAATTTGATTACGGTTTATGCATAAACTTTTATGAACCTAACATCTCTCTGCGAGCATCAAGGTACATTTGACGGTGATTTAAAGTCGGGTCACTTGCTCTGTCTTTTGCTAAGTCTTTTGAACTGTCTTTTAAATATTTCATAGCTAACTTTTTTAAATTAAAATTCAAACAAAAATTGTTAATTTTAATTTAATTGTCCAATTTAATATAATGCACTATACAACAAAAGAGAGGGGTTCAACTGCCTACATTCCCATTTGCCAACAGCTTCGTTTGCCCACAACATTTTGCCGACAGCTTCAATTGTCGACATTCCCGATTGCCTACAGAGCGATTGCCTACAAGCATTATTGCGCACATTTAAAAATTAAAAATACAAACGTACGTTTGCACACAAGACATTATTGCACACATACACATTGCACACATGATACTATTGCGCACATACACATTGCACACATGACATTATTGCGCACATACACATTGCACACATGACATTATTGCGCACATACA